CATTTGCCACTAAACCTCTCTTAGCTAGCCATTTGCCACTAAACCTCTCTTAGCTAGCCATTTGCCACTAAACCTCTCTTAGCTAGCCATTTGCCACTAAACCTCTCTTAGCTAGCCATATGCAACTTCGCCTCTACTCTTAGCTAGCATTTTGTCAAGTAGCTTCAACTCTTAGCTAGCCTTTTGTCAAGTAGCTTCTACTCTTAGCTAGCCTTTTGTCAAGTAGCTTCAACTCTTAGCTAGCTTTTTGTCAAGTAGCTTCAACTCTTAGCTAGCCACATGCCAGTTTTGCTTTCAGCAAGCTGTTTGCAACTTGTCTTGTAGCTAGCATTTTGCGTATTTTCTACCAAGGCTTCCTGCTTTTTTAAGTTTAAAAACAGTGTAGCATTTTTTAAGCAAATTTCTCCAAGTCATTCAGTGCTCCCCATTAAAATTCTCTAGTTGGGATGTGCACTGGTTAAAGATAGACGTGAAAGGAGGGAGTGTGTGGATGAACCAGGCAGAGCATCTATCATTTTTACTGTCCATCACCAAATCAAATCTGACAGCTGCTTCTGGCTGACATGCCTGAGGTTTGGAAGGGTGCAAAAGTCCCCAGTAGTACAGAATATGGACAAAAAACATGAGGGGAAGTGGGTACTTTTGAAATAAATATAAGCAGTGTGCAATGCTTCTTAACATCTGGACCTTAAATAAAAAATAAAAAACTAGATACAATTTATAGGCAGCCTATATGAGGTATTAGATGTTTAAAACTACACTTGGAATCGATGTAAGCTAGAAATCATTACAGATTAAAATGAGACTGACAGGCTTGATGTACATTTATAAATGCACTTTTATATGCACATGCATAATGTTTATTTTAGTGTAACCTTTTCTTATCTCCATCCAACACCCCACACTAGAGGAAATGAACTGCCTGATTTTGTCAATGCAAAATTTTTCTTCAAGGCTCTTTTCTGAGTCAGTATGAACTGAGGAGCACCCCCTCTGGCCTGGGGCCAGTGAACACATCTGTGCATGGCCTCTCACCACAAGAGAGGTCCAATGACTGAGAACACTCTGGCCAAAAATAGTAAGAACAAGTTTCATCACATGAGAGCTCAACACAGTATGATCACTTTTTTTAGATTATGTAATGTTATATAAAGCAAGCACAAAACAGCAAGTGACTGACATGTTGACTATTATGTTTCTTTTTAAAACCGACTCATAAAATACAAACAGGGCCCAACCAGCTATGTCACAAGTGATTGAATCAAGACATATAAATAGTAGGGGTGTAAGAAAATATCGATACACTGAAATATCGCGATATTTCATTTCCCGATAATGTATCGATATTCTAAAGCCATGTATCGATTTTTTTTTTTAAGGTTTAAAATGTCAACTTCCCTGCCAGCCGTTCATTTTTATGTTGTAGTTCAGCCTCTGACCACTAGTTGGCAGCAGTGAGCCAGCCATTTGGCTCCTCTACCTCTTGAGGTAGAGGCTATTGTTAAGTGTTGGGTGACCATATTGTAAATTAATATTAAAAACTAAAAGCTGCAAAAAATATATTTTCAAACTATTTATTGTCAAATTTAGTCTAATAATTGAAAACATGGATGAAATAAGAAACATGAAACAAATAAAATAAAACACATACAAAGCAGAACACAGTTAAATGTATCAAAAGTATGTCTATGTTATATTAGAATGTTCTGAGACAATGAATTTTGTTTTTTTCCCCCCAGTAAGAGGTTTTTATTTAATAAAATTTTTGGACAAAAGAAATCGCAATATATCACAATATGTCACCTTCCTTACAGTATCGCAATATATCGGGATATATCGTATCGTGACCCCTCTGTCACAATATGTATCGTATCGCCAAATTCTTGCAAACACACAGCCCTAATAAATAGGGTTGAGTGAAACATTTTCACGCCAATAGTTTCTATGGTAATATTCATTTTAGCATTTAAAATACATTTGAAAAGAAGTTTCTCACAAGCACAACAGAGGAGAGTTAGAGATGTAACACTGTACCTTGTCGGTTGATCTCGTTTTTCAGAAGCTCCTCCATCGCCTCCTCTTCAGCAATGTCCAGAGGAGTCTCACCCTCGCTGTTTACAACGCCGACATTAGCACCCTGACTGATCAGATACCTGTGGAAAATAAAASAACAAAACAAKAAAATTATGAATAAAGCGGCAATAAGACATTTTTTAACAATGTTCATTGAGGGGGGTGGGGGGGGGCATATTTCTGCACTTGAACTGATGCATTTGATAAGTAAATATGGTTAGAAAATGTTACTTCCTTAAACAGAAAAGGAAACTGTTGAAATAAAAGTGGTGCTGTAAATGTTATTGGTTTAATGTAAATGTAAAAAAAAAATGTAAAAAAAAATGGTGCATATGGGACTAGAATGGACATTTCTGGCGTAACTTGTTGTACACCAATACTGGCCAAAAAWTTTTTTTACATGCACAAATTTTCAGCATATGGTATGCATACATCCAAAAGAGGCAGTTGATTTGTACTGCATCTTCTAACCTGACATGCAGTTAATGCAATGCAAATTAAAATTGCATGTGCAAATAAACATTAAAGTGGCTTTATTGTATGTTCTATATCATTCTAAAATAAAAGCATTGCATCGGTATGAGGACGGTTAAAACACTGGATTGATGAGCAATAGATAAGAGAAGTAGTATCAATAAAATCTTAACGATACCCATCCCTAGTACTCACGGTATGCACCAAAACTAAACAAAACATGCTTTTAGGAAATATTTTAAATAAGACAGATTTTTCAAAATCTAGGAGCACCTAGAACCACATTCAGTACCGACCTTCTTATCAGAGGTTAAATTTTCACAATAAACCAAGACAAAAAAGGAGCATTTTATAAAGCAATCATAGCCTTTTTGTGATTTAACCCTTGCAGTGATTGAATACATTTAAAGCCTCAAGCATCTTGAATTCAGCTGTCTCCAATTAAAGCCGCGGTGGGACTCAGCTTCTTCTCATTAGACCAACGACCCACTTGAAACACACTCTGTATTTTTGACTTCCACCCAAATGGCAACTCACCGACTACAATTACATCCCAGCGATCTGCATTTCTTTTAATTAGACTTTCTATTCTGCCTTTTTTTGGG